AACAAAAGCATTATGTGCGGTTATAGATTTATACAGGAAATAAATTAATTATCGAATTGTTTTGTATATAAAATGCATTATTTCCTACGATGCACCTCAACTCATATATTTGACAGGAAACCCCGATTAACTACGTAGGAAATACTGAGGCATAAAGGAAGTCATCTTATATCAATTCAAATATTTTTCCCTGAAAAGAGTTGGATAGATGACCGGCACGACTCTGTTATTAACGGAAAAGTATGATGTACAGGGGCAACTGGTAATTTGAGGTGGAGAGCATATATTTTAATTCTAATGTATAGAAGTATTCGAACTGATTCGTCAACGAATCATTCCGAAAACTTTTTGATCACACTTTACAGAATATTTCAAAATACAGTCGACCCCCTATAACACTGTTGATAATTCCGTTTTATATGAGTTCCATGTTGTACGAATCACTTAGATTTTACAAATACGTGTGCCGGGCTGTGAACGGCTTACGTATTTGTAAAATCTAAGTGACTCGTACAACATGGAATTCATATAAAACGGAATTATCAACAGTGTTATAGGAGGGTCGACTGTATATTCCTTTATATGTGCCTTCTTTTATTAATTTTTAATTATTTTAATAATTCCAATAAAGGATTTGTTCAGAAATTTTAAGTGTAACATGTCAACGCGTATTTTGCATTCACACAAAGTTGCAACATTCCGATGAAAACTGGAAGTCATGTTATTTCAATTCAAATCTTTTCCCCTAAAAGCAGTTAATACATGTTTGGCATAAACCTCCTTGCAAAATTTCAGAAATTTTCGAACAAAAGCACATGTGAACAAAATCGTGTCTCTATACACATACAAAACCCCTGAACTTTTTTGCATTTTTCGACGTTTAAAATTAAATTAAGTGTTGTTAAGTTTAAGTTACATTTCCAATAAAGTTTAGAAAAATCGTACAATAATAAATCTCACCATTTAAAATCTTTAATCAAGAATAAGATCAGACGTTAAACAATAATCATTATTAAAAATAAATGTTGAATGAAAAGTAGAATGTACAGAGACGAGACACTACTAATTTGAGGTGGAGAGCATATATTTTAAATTAACTAAATTAAAAATATGATCAAAAATTGAAGCCCGGAATTGTGACGATATCACAATAAATTATAATATAGTATATATGACAGTACGAAAAAAATTTTGAGTTAAATATACAGCAAAAACCAGCCATAGAGTCATTTTATGACCCCATTTTTCTATTGAAAGGTTAATTATCTCTCATTTTTTTCCGAAAATTCTTGTTTTAAATTGGAGTTCCTCTTAATTTGGGGCATTTTTTGTCATTATGTAAACGTCTGTATGTAAAGTTATGTAAAGTATGTGTAGTAATTCTTATTTCATTTTTTAAATTATACTTAAAGTAAAAGCATTATCATCATTAATTTAATAAATTATTTTTAAAGTACATTTACTTCTAATTTTTATTCAATATTTTTCCTGATAAAATCTTGTTTACAAGATCAAGATTTATCTTAAATTCGAAAAAATACGATATTTTATAAAATTGACAATTATTTCAAAAATATAAATTATAAGAAAGACTATAATAAGAATAGATAAAAATAATATTCTTATTTTCAAGACGTTATTCTTAATAATTCGAGCAAAGTGAATATATCTACTTTAAAATTCTGCTGAAACTTTAAAGTAAAGTAAAAAAAATATATCTTTACACAGCATTCACTTTACTTGAATTCAGAAGTGTGACAACAATATGACTGGGGATAGACAGCTTACCGCCTCAAGTAAAGCCTAGAAACTTTTCTGAGAAGAGTAGAATTGCATTTGTCACTTCCTTTCCAGAATTATTGATGAACTGTACAAACTTATCTGCATCTAACGTCCTTATTCATAACTCACGATCGGCAATTAGTTAATCAATTAACATCATTTATTTTAATAATGATTATTGTTTAACGTCTGGTCTGATTCTTGATTATAGATTTTAAATGGTGAGATATATGTATGTTTATTGTACAATTTTCATAGAATTTATTGGAGATGTAACTTAAAAACACTTAATTTTAATTTGTTTTACTTTTCTGTCTGGACAATCAGTCAAACAATGACCCAAAGATTTTGAACTTAGAGGGATTTGAAAAGTCGAGAAATGCATGTACTGTACGTGTATGGGAGCACGATTTTGTTTACCTGTGCTTTTGTTCGAAAATTTCTGAAATTTTGCAGAGAAGTTTGTGTATTACAGGAATTTATTCCATTACATTTTGGTAGTTAAAGGTCGAGGAGTTATGACCTTTTTTTGGCGAATATATACGAGCGTATAGCATGAGTGAGGGATAAAAACGATGTCCGAATATACTGCCCATGATAAATTATGAATGTCTTAAAACCAGATAAAAGAAAGCACGCTTTATCTTATCATTTTATAATCTTATGCTTAGAAAATCACTCATTAAACGTAGACAATTAAATATTATTAGATGAAACTTAAATATATGAATGAATTATTTACTTAATGGATTCAAAATAGTAAAATAAAATATTTGTTTAATTGTATTAAACCGTTGTGTAAATTTTTATTTAATACATTGTACTGTACAATAAATCATCTATTTAATTCCAGCATTATTATTATCAATATAAATATTTGCCTACCTCTTCTGGTCCATAATTATATCCAAATTCTTCTTTTGCTATTCTTTTTACATCATCAGAAAATTCTTTATATTCAGTAGAATCTGGTATTCTCGCTGTTACTGTAAGAAGAGCCTCGTAAGCATTCCTTGCTTTCAGATTTCTTTCTGCTGTGTCATCTGGACGATACCAAGGTCGTCGATTTTCTTTTTCACTGAATAAGAAGAGAAATTTGATGACATTAAAATTATTCATCGAATATTAACGATGAATTTTTATATCAATTCTATCATATATATCTATTTAACAATAATATTAATAATTCAAATAAAATACTGAAAAACATGAAATAATAAAAATTACTATTGGGCTGCAATTTGGAAAAAATTGTAGACTTATAAATTCCCACTTTTGTCTGTCTATCTGTCTGTCCTTTCTTAATCTCGATCAGAGTGTTAGATAGATAAAAACCGAAAGTAGGAGTAGAAAGCTTAGGGGCAGTAGACCCTGATTAACTACATATTTTCATCCGAGCCAGAATGAATATTATGTGATTTCAATTCAAAATTTGGACTTACGAAGATGACTGGCATTACTCTTATCAACAAAAGCATTATGTGCGAGGCAAGAATCTACAAATTTTAAATTGAATAAATTAAAAATATGATTAAAAATTGCAGCCCAACATTGTGACATCGTCACAATAAAAAATTTCTCGTTAACTATATACAAAATTGTAAAATTTACTTCTTATTATATGAATATCAAAAGGTTATAGTTACATTTTTCAATAGAAAATTTAAAATTTTTATCTCGATAATCAAAATATTACTTATAGCCAAATAACTTTTTCGACAATATTGATTTTATGTGATAGTAGAATAGCAGAGGACATTAAAAGGACCGAATTCTCAACATGCATCAAGAAATAAATGTTCAAAATGTGAAATCTCACTTCATCGATACGATAGTTAAAAATTAGAAGGTATCGTTGATGTAAGAGATAAAAGAAATGTGCCAATGAGTAACACCTTTGAGAGTACTTAGACCATTTAAGAATATCTTTTATGTAATCTGATGCTAGAAAATTCAGAAGAAAGTTTTTATGTTTTCAAAAAAAAACGATATCTCGATTTACGTTTTTACTAGAACTTAATGAATTATTTAGCGAATTTCTATTTTACTTCATTTGAATAATTTTAAAAAATTATGATATTAAGGTTTAACTTCTTTTTATTCTTATTATATTATTAAATAACAATTAAATATTAATTCCAACGAGAAATTTATTGACATCGTCACAATGCCGGGTTGAAATTTTTAATCCTATTTTAAAAGTTTTAATTAAAAATATATGCTTTCCACCTCAAATTAATAGTGTCTTGCTCCTGCACATCATACTTTTCCGTTAGCAATAGAGTCGTGCAGGTCATCTATCTAATTCCTTTCAGAGGAAAATTCTTGAATTGAAATAACGTGTCTTCCTATATAGTTAGTTGGAGCTTCCTGCCCCTACGCTCTCCATATCTGGTCTCGTCATAACTCCGTTCTTGAGATGAAAGGATGACAGATGGACCGACAGACAGATGACAGTAGGAATTTATAGGTCTACAATTTTTTCCAATTGCAGCGCAATAAAAAAATTGTAATTAAGTTCTGTAAATATAATATTTAATATAAAAAATAAGTTTTACATATAAAAAATAAAGTTTACATTTTACATAAGCATTACATAGAGATGTAATCTCTAGTACGATGTAATTTAATTTCATGAAGCTGATAATTTTATCACTTTTGTAATTAAAAGAATTATAGTTTCACTAATTATATTGTTAATCTATTAAGAACTGTCAATACTTATTGGATTATAGATTGTGCGCGCGAGATATGTTCTGAAACTTCTAACCAGAGAAATTTAATCAACACTCTTCAGAAATCAATATTACAAACAATTTTCTTAGAAATTATTTATAAACAGTGGCAAGTTTAACTTGTTTATGCCCAGGAAATAATAGAACTTACAGTATAATTTATAACTCGTCGTATTTCCTAGTACCCAGTTTATATGATGTACAACTCTTATCATATTATCTAATATAACAGATCTATTACAATAATCTTGTACGTACTTGATATTGTACAAGGTTTTACCTATTATAATTACTAGATTCCTATCATTGGATCCGATATCGATATGCATATAAGTATAGTTAAGCGAAAATCCGGACTAACTGGAGCTAAATCCTAACCGGATTTTTAAGTAAAAATGTAAATTAATATTTTAAGTAATGGAAACTCAAAATGCACTGTATTTCAAGTTTATATGTTCTGATTTCAAGTCAGTATTTCACAAGAAATGTAAGAACGCTTACAGAGATTCAAAATATAATTTGCAAAATTACTATATTTAAACAAAATGTACACTAATCATAATTTCAAAATTAAAAGATAAATTCTGAATGTTAAAACATCAACAATGAATTTACCAGGGTTAATATCCATTTTTTTGATGGAAGTATCGGATGTTTTAATATATATGTACTGTACACGAGATTCCTAATATCTAAATGCCCTAAACAAACGCTTAAAAGCCTATTTATAAAGAATAAAAATTAATTTATAACTTATCAACAATTGTTTAGAAAATTATCAATTAGAAAGTGGTACTTTTGCTCAAATTATTTCAATATTCCTATTCATTTATAAGATGTTACCAGAAGACAAAACATATTCTTACATTTTTTTTATATTCTGTAAATAATTTCAATAATTTTACGCATTTAAAATTAATATTTATCAAGTATATATTTTTTCTGTGCTCATATATAGATCCACTCTACAACACTTATTAGAAAGCATAACCTTGTATAATAGCTTTTATTAAATAAATCATCGCTTACAATACTTCTGAGGAATTTATCTTAGTTGTTTATAGTTTTTTTTTTTTTTTAATTTTCTCTTAAAGAATGTTACTAAATTGATTTATATGTTTATGTAAGTAATTATATCTACCATTCAGTATTTAAAAAATATATATATATATATTTTTTAAGGTGAATATATCATCTAATTAGACTTGTTATCGCTGAAAGAGCATGTAACATCGATTTTATGATCTGTGTTTGTCATAATAAACATTTTCCGTATTTTTTCATAAACATTTACGTGCAGAAATATGACATCCAGAGAAAATATTTCAAAATAAAGCAAATTAACTATTATTATCTCTTCCATTAAATGTTAGAAATTTATGATTTTTTATACGATATAGAAACAAAATTAAAATAACATTGAAAATTTTAATAAATTTTCATTATCTAAATATCGTTAAAGTTAAAATTCTTCGTTATCTTTCATTAATAAAAAGAATTTAAATTATTGAGAATGATTATATTCTCCTTATTATATGAATTTCGAAATAATTAATTAATCAAAATCTTTCGAATATTCTTAAATAAAACTTAATGAATTAGAGATTTCAAAGATTTTTACTTCAATTTTCAACAATTCAGTTAAGTTAAATATTGAAAATTAATTATGTATTTAATGTAAACAATTTAAATATCCTTCATCAATATTCTAAACATAGAAACTGCTTGTATACTTAATGAAATTATTTGGCATCTATGTGAATTATCCACTTGAAATCTGCTAAAATTAATAAAATCTTAATAAAAAACATATTCAAAACTCGACTCTTCCTTTTTAAAATTGACATAAATTTGATTCAAAGGTTTTATAAATTAATTTTAAAGTCATTTATATGCTAATTTAATGCATCTAGAACAAGAAATGAATCTATTACTTTATTTTCTTAATTAATAAATCGTTTTGTTTTGATTATATTTTTCATTTTCTGATAATGTTTTCTAAAAATATGCAAATATTTACGTGTTATTAATAAAAATACATCAATTATATATAGTTATTTAATTTTAATAGATAAATGATGAAAAATACATCAATAAGAGTTTTGAGTAGTCGCGATTCCGAAAGATAAAAACCGGAAGTAAAACCATAATAAAAATAAGTACTTTTGTCCACAAAAAAGACCATTTTAGAGCAGTTTAGGCCGTTTAGTAGATGGTTAAACAGTTTTAAATTAATGAAGCATAATAGAGAAGATATAGGTAAAAAAATTTCCTGAATTGTAAATATGAAAGGGCGCTGCGAAGCCTCATTATTTTTTCAATGAAAACATAAATATTGTACAATGAGAACTGGTTTCCTTTAATTACAAGTTTGTTGAAAATTTCTCTAGCAAATTTTAAACGTCCAGTATCAAATAAATACTGACTACAATATCTTCTGGAACTAGTTTATTCAACCTAATACATAATGCATTTCGAGTGGTTCATAAAAACTCAATTTCTCCTCTTCAGTTACAATTGAATAAACAATATTAATTTTGAATAATACAATATCAATAAAACATTAAAGACATTCCTTAATATTATTTCCTGTAATAATTATAGCATATAAATTGAAATTTTAAATGATTTTTTTTAATGTTTAAAACATATCTTTCCTGTAAACCACCCAATTAATACGGTTTAAACCCTTGTTGAAAAATACACTAATATTTTTAATTATACTGTTATTATCAAGTACCAATACATATCACACAATATATCTACTTATACAATAACCAATGTAAAAAAATCATCAAATTTGATCATCAAATTCGTTCTCTTCATCACTTAAAATATCAAACTACTGTCCAGATTTTACTACACTCAAACATTATCGTATCACGTATACAACTTGATTAACAAAACTTAAATGTTACGTTAATATTGATATGAATATGTTAAAAATCCATTTATATTCACCTTCAGTCGATATATATAAGGCCCCACGTGCCTAAATTTCAAGATATAATTCGTATGTTTGGCTATTTACATTCCTTTTCTGTGAAATATTCGAAAAAATTCTCACATAAAAACTTGTAAATTAGATTATTTTAATTCTGAAAGATGGACTCGAATTTGAGAATAAATAAAATTCATTTTTTGGTGAGAAGCATTCATAATAAATATATAGAATTATCAAGACAGGGGCAATAAAATTATAAATATTTTAATTATATTAGCAGTTAAGCACTTTAAGAAACAATAACTATTGTTTGTAAAAAGGTATATCAATCATGCAGTATAAACCTAAATTTAATATAAAATTTCTTTTTATATTGAATATAATAGAAGAAAGGAATTTCTTCTTTAAATAATCTTTCTTTCTAGTTTGAAATCCGATAAAAAATAATCTTGTATAATTCTACTTTGTGAATTAGAAGCACAAACAATGATATTGCATGATACAGATAACATACAATTTTATACGATTTATTCTATTAAATTTAAACAGAAAAACAACAGAAATTTATTACATAATTCAGGAATTTTACAGCAATTTACTTATAAATAGAATATTTAATTAATGAAATACGAATTTTATTTTAGACTTTTAAGGCAATTCTTGAGTATGAAATACTTATTGTAATGATCATATATGAATTATACAATTATATAATTTATGAAAATTATACAACCCTTGAAAATCTTTAATCTGGAAGAATTGGAAAATTATTAGGCTGCAATTTTCAAGTAGACCTATAAATTCCCACTGTCGTCCGTCTGCCTGTCCACTTGCCTGTTCTTCCTTAATCTCGAGAACAGAATTATATAGGTGAAAGACGATACCAAATATGGAAACCTTAGGGGAAGGAGGTTCCCGATTATCTATATAAGAACTTCTGGTAAAATCGGAAGTCACATTATTTCAATTCAAAAATTTTTCCTAAAAGGATGATTGTTATACAGGTGACCGGAATGACTCAATTTCTAACAGGAAAAGTAGGATATACAGGGGCAAGCGACTACTAATTTCAGATGGATAGCATTGTATTTTAAATTACATAAATTGAAAATATAATTAAAAATTGCAGCCCTGCATTGTGACGATGTCACAATAAAATAAATAAAAAATAACGTATCTTTGAAATAAGTATTCTTGTAAAATTCTATAATAAAATATAGCGTATTAGATTAAGCTTATTACAACCTTTATACAGTAGAAAATGGCAAAGTTTTAAGTGAGGGATATTATTCAATATATATATTTTATTATATTATAGAATTTGTGAAGAGAAATTGATATTAATACTTAGATATCTTATAATGCAATATTAAATATATCTAAGTGGCAAGCAGCCAAGGAAGCAAACATGGTTAATACTCTATAATATCATTTGTTCGCGTACGTATCTGCTTACTACCTAGAAGTACTCATTATAAACATGAATACCAATATTTAATGATGTTATGAATAATTTTCAAAGTTTTATTGTGAAATAAGATAGAATATGACGAAGAAATAGTCCAGGTACAATATTTTAAATATATTTATGAAATAATGCAAAACGTTTAAGTTTTTCTATGAAGTTTCTACAAAGAATTCTTATCTTGTCTCTTAAGTTTGTAAGTAGAGTATAAAACATTTAATTCTGTCTATTTTATAAAATGAATTTCACTCAAACTTGAGAGAAAAACAAACGAAAGTCTAACAGATCATTCTGGATAAACCAGGAATTGTTAAATTACATACAGTCGCCCCCCTATAATGCGGGTTCATACAATGCGGATTCGTATATTGCGGCGAAAAAATTGCGACAGTATTCATATAAACACACTAAAAGAGACTCGTAAAATGCAGTAAAACGTCATCGCCGACTCGTGTCGCGACAGGATTGATCGAATCTGGACCAATAGTGGACGAACAGCCGAACTACTTACACGCTACGAAGAATTTAGGCGGGTAAGTGGAGTTTACTAATCAATCAATCATTTTATTTTTACATGTAATATACATATATCCTGACCCCGCTGTGGCATTATCAGGAAGTTTACTATCATCTGTACAGTATATAAATTAGGTACTGTAAGTACTGTAATTTTATACATTTCTTGTGAAAAAAAACATTTCTTATTCAAAGGCCATAAAAATTATTTCTATTAATGATGTCACCAAAGTTCAACGAATTTTTCGCAGAAAAATAATGTAAAGTAGTAACCTTTTAGCACAGCGGGGACAAAGGGGGTACGGCTTTGTTAATTGGACCCACCTGCGGTGAGACGGTAGTACAATTGCCATATTGTAAACGAACGAACGTAAACAAGTGGCGGACGTTTGTGTAAGCTTCACTCTCGTCGGGTGACGGCGGACCCGAGTGTAAGCTGTTCGGGCAAAGAAAAGGGATTGTGATTGGTCGGAAGTCCCCGTCCAAAAACCCTTAAATTGCGGGCCGAACGAGAGGAAAGGAGAGAAGGGCAAGAGACTGGTACACGGTAGTCTCAGGCACTTGGGAAGCCCGCTGAGCGTAAAGAGAGAGTGTTCTCCTCTGTTAATCTTCTCAGGGACGGGTTAGTGCTGAGACCGGACCGACCGTGCAGTTGAGCCGACTCCGAAAGCTGACTGAGGTCTCTCCCAAGAGTATTAGTTTCCAGACGCCAATCTGGCACGTGAATTCACCACGCATGATCTTCCTGTACATATGCTACGTTTATAACTTGTACAACTGTAAATAAACTATATATATATTCAATTTGAGTGTGGAGGTGTACTTTCCGACGAACCTGATTCACCACATCGAGTCGTGAAACACAAGAAACCAACTCAACGAGACGGAGTTGGGAAGGAACATTTTTCCATAAGAGCTTCACTAATAACTTATCAGAAAACGCGCCCGCCGTTTGGGTCTCTGCTCCGCGACGAAAACAAGCTTAAGCAATGGCGTCGTCGAACGGTGCACTCTCCGTAAGTAATCCTACAATTTTTTGTTTATAGCGTAGTTTATACGGATTATTCCCAAAAAATTGTACGTGTTTTGGAAATGTTGAGTTAAATTAGTCTAGAATCGATTAATTTTATGGAAGAAAACCTTTCAAACAGCCATAGTCCGTAAACTGCATACGTGCCGGGCTGTGATTGGCTCATGTATTTAAGGATTCCTACAACGTAAAATTCTTATAAAGTGGAACGTATCTACCGCGTTATGGGGGGGGTCGACTGTACTAAAATTTTCACAAATTTGATCCATTAATAAATTTTATTTCTTTTTAATCATTTCACATTGTTTAGAATAATAATTATTATTATTAAAATAAGTCCAAGTTATGATTCTTTGACTGAAATAATATAAAATATTTGCCAATGTTTCTAATAAAATTAAGTATTTGTCCTAAATATGTTTTACAGCAATCATATCTGTAAGTATTCCGACTCCTTTCCTTAAGAAAAATTAAATTTTGTACAATACATTCAGAGAAAAAATCGCAGTTTTTCAGCCTATTTTTAAGTAATATTTCAATCCTACAGCCTACATAATACATTTTATTTTATAATCACAAAATACGTTATACAGTAATTTATAAAATACAGTCCTTTGGAAGTCTCAATTTTAATATTTTATGGTTTGTTTAATACGTCTATAAATTATTAAATGGGTTATTTTACTAATTATTTGATATAATGAGTTATAATTATGATAACAATTATTATATTTAATATAAATATGGAGTAAGTATACATATTAAAAAATTCTTATACTTTCTGAATATTCATATTTTAAGATTAATTTAAAATATAAAGGTAAATATTTACAATATATCAATACAATATTTTAAAATTGGAAACATAAGACATTTTTTAAGTAAATATTTAAGAAATTTGATGTAAAGTAAATAATTTTAATAGAACTTTCAAATATTTGCATTTTTAGCTAATTAATTGATTTAATAATCATACGTATTAAAAATTTTCAGACGATTAATTACCTATTTTCATTAATTCTGTCTCAAATGATAAAAGTAAGATAAATTAAATATAAAATTTTATTAATTAAATCTGATAAATCTTAATCTAGTTGCTATCTTGAAATTTTAACAATTAAAAATTATTTTTAATAATTAAATTTAATATATTTTCAGCAATTCATTATGCTGATTATTATTTAATTTTTCGGAAATAATTTAATATATATTGTGTTAGAGTAAACCCTTGGTTTAACGCATTAACAGGGGCAAACGGATACAGATCCTCGTTAATGCTGAAAGTTCGTAAAGTCGAATGTAACCAAGAAAAGGGCATTTTTCACTCTTCAAATTGAAATAATTGTAATGCAAAAATAGCTTTAATAGAATGTAAAATATAAATTTATTCGATTATAATAAAGAATAAATCGACGAAATTTGAAATATAAATGCAAAACTATATTTGGAGCTATCAAAACTGCATTTAAAAAATGGCCTTTGATTTGTGGAAATCAGAAAGAGTTTGTGAAAGTTACGGAGTAAACATACACACTTTCTTTTAACTTCTGTATCAGTTGATAAAATTTAAAAATATATGCTCTCCATTTCCAATTAGTAGTGGCTTGCCCCTGTACATCATACTTTTCCTGTTAGCAATAGAGTGGTGTCGGTCTTCTATGCAATTCCTTTTAGGAAAACATTTTGAAATGAAATAATTTAACTTCCATTTTGTATTGGAGGTGTATATATACAGTTAATCGAGGCGTGCTGTCCATATTCGTTCCATATCTGTCTTCGCTTTTATCTACCTAATTCTGTTCTCGAGATTAAATTAGGACAGACAGGTGATAGTAAGAATTTATACGTCTACAGTTTTTTCAAATTGCAGTCCAATAATAAGAAAAGTTTTTATATTTCATTATTTTAGCGCAAAAATATTGATTACACTTTCATTATATCATATTTATGAAATCTCACATAAAATAATTTATATTTTTACTGTTATTATCAATATATACTGCATAGTAAAAAGACGTTTATACAATAAAAATTAATAAATATAACATTAATTTATCATTGAAAGTAAATTTTATGAAATTAAAAGTTATACGAACCTGGTAAATAGTTCAATATTAAAAAATACGTATTCTCCACTGTTTACCATTTCTAACTCGTATGCTGCCAACAGAATTTCTCTGACAGCATTTGAAGAGGCACATATTAATATGACTGAAAAACATATAAAATTTTGTAAATTGTATTTTTAATACATCTTATCATTTAAATAACGTAATACAAGAGAGTCTCGATTATCCGACATTCTGCTTTATGCAATATATTAATAATATGCGATGTACTATTTCCAGTGTATGCTCGGGCTTTGTATGTGCTGTACTTTACTTAATTCTTGTTGATTTATCTATCAGTTCATCCCATTTACCAAAAATGTATCTTTTATTCATCTATACAAATGACCTATATTTGTAATATACCTACTACAGTATAACTTTTTTGTGTGTGTTTTCTTTTAATGTAATTCTATTGTTTGTAAAGAATGCTAAATAAAAACTGAAGTAAATAATTTTTTCAATTGAATAAATTTTATTTAATATTTATTTAAAATCACCATAAAATATGCGATTTGTTTCGATTCTTTTGTTTTCATTTTATCTGAGATCTTTGTTAATTTAACCATCTGTTGTGGGATCGGATCAAACATTACCCAAAATAGGCAAATACAAAGGCACCAAAGATAAAAATTACCCATAGGGACAGATTATTTTTCTTCGGATTTAAAATTGTTTTCATTTATCATTATGTAATCATAATAAGTATGTTCCCTGAAAGACTTTTAAGGTTCTGTCACATATTTGTTTTCAGTATTTTCTTCAATTAAAGAGCTCCATTCAACAAAAAAATCTACTTCATTAGGTTTGAAGTAGATTTTCTGTTATTCAACACATAGGAATATAATGATTGTCTTAATTTACATAAACACAACGAGGTTTTAGTGACCGTGTTCCATATTTTACCAACACTATTCTGTTCGACTTTACCCATAAATTGGGCAAAGTCGTTTGATATCATTAATACCATTTTTTTGTGAACAACCATTAACCTTATTCACTTCCTGCTAGGTTTTTTCACCATTTAAAAGTTTAATGATTTGTTTCTTCAGGCTTCTACCGTGATGCCATTTTGACTGATATTCACTTCTGTCCAATAACTGATATACTAATTTGCAATAAATAACTATGAATTAATTCATTGGCTTTTCCGTTATAATTACAAATTCATCTATATTTATAACAGAAAAGTCAATGAAGTTTGAAGTTATTTATTGCAAATTAATTGATAATACAGATCAGAAACTTATATTGAAGTGATACACTGAACTTATACCTATAGGCAGTGTCTTTATTTATAAATACTACCAGTCCGCATAAATGATAACTGAACATATAAGACTCTTTACTGAGCAGATATCGATACTGCGTATCTATACCAATACTTTTGACGCTATATACCGGCGCGCTCGAGCAGAAAAACAGTTCTATGGGTATAAGCAAATTGTAGCTTGTCAATGGAACAGCCCCGTGCTTTCTGTATAAGGGACTAATAAACTCATTTTGTTTATTTATTATATGTTTATTTTATTATATTTGCTTAACCTTTTTTTAAACAGAACTGAACCGTAATATATCTATTATTAGATATGTAGCTGCTTTCTGTGTATATTATCTAATTGAACCTTGTTTATTAATAGGACTTATTATACTGGTAAAGTTTCTAATATTCTATTCAGAAACTTCACCAGTATAATAACTCCTATTAATTAATAAACAAGGTCCAAGTAGACATTATATACAGAGAAATGAGTATGGACAAATAAGCTAAAAAAATTGTTGTAGATATCTTCTTCCACGGAAAATTTGCAGATCCTTCTTTTGTTATATTGTCACACTATTGATGTTTTGATCTATGTATTTATTCAATGTATAACCTTCTCTGTATCAAATATTTTCTTCGACTGTAATAAAATTTTTATTATTCATAATTGTTCTCAGTAAATTATTACATATTTTTTACGAGGATTGTATTACGCAGGGTTCTGTGATCAAGAGACTCGAGAATAGGATCGATCTCTTAACTCTTTGGGACATTTAATTCGGATAATCGGAACTGTGATGTATAAAAATAAAAATTTATAATTTATAATTTTCTTATTTGTTTAGCGTAAATTTTCTTTTAAATACAATATAATATATAATAAAACTAATTTCTGAAGAAAATTATTATTAAATTAAGTATCTTTATTATAGTTAAGAGGTGAAGTGTTTAAGCTTCAAAAACGATACTCATTACTTTAATTACTAACAAGTACCAATTAAAGTTATTCAGTGAACAAAAAAAGATGTGTAGATAGCAACAAAGAAAATTAAAAGGAAAGAATGACTCTTACAATAAAATATTTATGTATCAGTTTCTTCCAGATATATCATAACATGCAAGAGTTAATGAGTTAATACAAGAGATTAATGCATAACTAATACGTTAATCTTTTGCATTAACGAAATATTGTTCAAATTGAATCCTTTGTTAAACAAGAAAGTTTAATAAATTTTGACAACAGAAATAATTTTAAGAAAATATTCCTAAACTTGAGAAAATTAGTAACGTTTATGAGATTTTGTTCTTTAATCCTGATTTTAAATCAGAGAGTTTTAAGAAATTTATAATAAGCTTCAAAAAGCAGTATCGTGTTTCTATTTTAAAATATTTAAATATAGAAAAATATATTTATAAAAATTCTATATCTAAACTGTAATTTGAGATAAGCTATTCAATGAACGTTCTTAATAATTTAAATTAATGCTTTACTAAAATTATTTTGAGATAAGTTTATTGGTGATTTAAGATTTGTTACTAATAAGATAACAAACAAATGATGATAATTCTTATTTTCTGTCCCGATCACAATAAAATTTAATGAAAAAATTAGTTTTATAACAATTCATTTGATTTATATTAAATTTATTTGGTTTGATTTTGTATTTCATTCTAAGATATAAATTTCTTTCTCTAGAGAGGTTTTGTTACATGTGAAGAAAGAATTGAAATGACTATTTCCTATCGATTTGTATTTTTTTATCAGAAGAATATTATTCTCCTGTGTGACATAAATGCTGACATTCTTTTTCTTACATCTCCAATATATCACGGTCTAAATAACTTTTTCAATGACTATACTTTTAAAGATTTCATTGCGAATTTTAAAGTTATACTTAACAAAACGAAATTCTATAAATTCTTTAGTTTAACTTTTGATATTTATATTTTAATTTTTGTTTGTATGATTCGTGAAACATTTATATATACATATATATTTAAATTTACATGAATAATAAGTATTTTATTTGTATACTTTGAAATTTCTGACAGACTTCTCTCATTTAATTTTCTATAGAAACTGATTTATTTATATATCACGGTATAAATTGTTAAGAACTGTTACAATAATTCACTTTTTTTTATTTTTTAAATGTCAAAAATTTCGTTATTCCTTTCATATTTCTAGAGAATAATTTTTCAGCATTATTTGAATAATTCAAATGGCGATATTTACAATTTTCCAGTTTAAAATTTCAATTGAATTGTACTATAATAACAGGTTGTTATAACACAGCCAATTATATTTTAATCGTACTTGAACGAAGAACTGTTATTGAGTATATCATATACAGTTATTGTCATACGAAAAAATATATTAATATTAGATTGACAGATTCATCGTGCTTTTTTTGTCGATATTGGACTGTACTATCGCAGCACTGTTATTATTTTTGACTGAATAAAGATATTATAATCTCGATATTATAAAATAAACAGAAACGTTTCTAATAATGAAATTTTTCAAATATAAACCCAAATTTTAAATGAGATTTTTTAGCGATTAAAATAAATCTTCTTTTGTGGTTAGTCTTCCTGAATAATCAGGAAATTGAGAATCACAAAATCCTGCTTTTATAATGCAAACATAAATAGGACTGCTGATCCAACTCTATATTGAACAATCCCTGAGACTATTAATTAAAAGAGAATAATGTGAAGAAGACAATCGAATGAACAAAGAATAAATGGCAATCATCTCGAGCCTAAATAAATATCTTAATCTTCCCTGCCAGTGAAGTACTTATTAAGGATTATACGCTTCCGAGAATTGTTAAGAAACTTATCCTACTCTTTATATTAATCCTACATCTATTTTATTTACATATTTTTTACTATAGACTTTACAAAAACGAAGTATACACATAATAAATATATTAATTAAATCAAAAACATACTCGCGATTTTTACATACTCTTGTCTAAATCGACAATATTTTATTTAATTTTGAACCATTTTCTTTGATTAAAATAAAAATCAAATTTATATAATTTAGTTTATAATATAAAATAATAAGAATATTTTATGATATTGAACAAAGTTGACGTTCATTTACGATGCGGTTAGGTTTTTTTAGATAGTGAGGAAGACGAAATTGAATGCGTTCGGTTATACCAAATATCGAAATTCTTTTTCATAAAATTATGTTTAATATACAGTATAACGTCGTTTATCCGAATCAATTGGGGACTGGGGTTGTTCGGATAATATATTTTTCGGATAACCGATTATGCACGAAACCTATCGTGTTAAAATTTTTCTCCGTTGCGTGTCGCTTCGCGTTGAATTTTCGTCGATATTAAGCCTTAAAAAACTTTTTAAAGTAATAATCGTGGCTATTGTATCGTTAAAAATTATTTTTTTATTTTGTACAAACAAAATACAGTAGAGCGTCGTTTATCCGAAAGTCAGTTATCCGAAAGAATTCCAGTCGGCAAATTTAAATTTTCGCTAGTGCTGTGGCGCTGCAATCTTTGGCTATATCTTGGGCCACTCCAATATTTTTTTTGTTGATGTGTGTTTTAGCTGGCAGCACTGGCACTTTTGTGTGGTGTTTTTCTGGGGACTTTGTGTGGTGCTGAATCGAACGTTTTTTATACTAGATTAACTTCTAAAGTATAATTTTTTGTTTTTATATTTTTCAATTTTTTTTTTTTTTGTTGAATTTTTCCTTCCGATGGCTGGATTATTATTAAAATATATCAAAGACAAGTCTGTCCAATAAGAATCACCATTTATTTTGCGTTTCAGACATACACAGTAATGGCGACAGGCCTTCC